TACAAAGAAGTCAACTTTAATTGGCTAATTTCTGAAAAGCTATAAGAGAATTTTAATAGTAAATTTTTATATCAAATATTTAAAAATTCATATATCAATGAGTTTTAAACCAATTTTAATAATTGTACTACTGTTAGAATTACAAGAATCTGCTCTACAAGTTTACTTAGAAGCTCAAAAAATATTTAATTAGTAAAAATTTTTGTAATTTGAGTTATAAAAAAAATATACTATCAAGTTTATATATAATTTTAAATATTACACCCTACCTTTAAAGATAGAGCTTCAATATATTATCTATTTATCTATTTATCTATTTATCTATTAGATATCCAATATCTGAATATATTTGATATCTAGTTACTATTGATATTCAGATAATTATCTAGATATCTATCAGATATCCAATATCTGAATATATTTGATATCTGGTTACTATTGATATCTAGATAATTATCTAGATATCTATCAGATTATCTTAATAATTATCTAGATATCTATTAGATTATCTAGATGTTAATAGTAAATAGATATCTAGATAATTTGGATATAGATAAATAGATAATAGATTTATCTAAATTAGAACTCTACTTAAAGATACTGAAACTTAAATTTATAAAATCTCTGAAATACAAAATTACTAAAATTACTAAAACTATGAAATGCATCAATTTTTACTAAATTAGTCTTTATATAGAATGATCTACTTTATAAATGGTGCTAAAATTCTTAGAATCTCTAAAATGCAAATTCTTAAAATCTCTAAAATGCAAATTATGTCACATCTAGTAATTGTATCTAGCTAAAGATTTTTGCTTTAATAAAATAGTATTTATCCGGGTCAACCTGAATATTTATTAATACCCGCGTAGTGATTTTCTCAATGGGTACAAACTCTAGTCATATCTGACCCCAACAGTACACTGTATAAAATACTTTTTATTAGTATTATATAATTTTTAAAGCTTAGCATAGACAAAAATATTGTTACCTAATTCCCTGAAAACTACTTATCTGACAGTCTATTTACCCGATATCACATAGGATGACAATTTAGTATTTAGTTAGCTATAGGTATATTTGTATATTATTAGTAAATTTTCATCTCATGTTATATCGGATAAATAGACTTTCGGGTAAATAGTTTTTAGGGAATATAACTGACAAAAATAGTATTTTTATATAAGTGTTGCCAAAAAAAAATATTCTACTAGCAATTTAAGTATATTACTAATTCAGTAATATACTTAAATTACTAGTGAGATATTTTCTCTTAGCAGCACTCATATATTATTTTTTTTGCTTTTTACTTTTTTTATCTTTTTATTTTTTATTTTATTTAGATTTGTTTAGATTATATAGACTTTTACTTTTAATTATTTTCTTTTTTTAATTTAGTTTACTTTTTTTTATTTGTTGTTTTTTTAGGCAAAGATTAAATAGAATTATTTTATTTGAATAGCTAAAAAAAAAAAAAAAAGAGTTTTAAGAAAATAGCAATTATAATAGCTTTGATTATAAAATTTTTAGTAATATATTATTTGTTTATAACAGATAAAAAAATAATTAATATTGAGATTAACTCTACTATAGAAAATTATATATAGATGTTCTTAGAATAACTAAATGAGACAATACTTGTAAATTATAGTGAAAGAAACTATTATTTCTTTAAATTTTATATTGCATTAATATCAGACATATAATTCCTGCAGTTTTAAATGATTATATGTTTATTGATATACATGCCGTAGTATAAGAATAACATGCAATAAAATCCACTATACCATTTCTGGTAGGTAATATTATCTTGCTTTGGTTGCCTGTATATAAATAATCTAAGACAGGAAAAAAAGTTTAAAGCTATAAGAATGAATTTGATAATGCTAAATTCATGTGGCACAAAACCACTATAAGCATTGTCTTCAGAATTTTTTTCAATTATAAAACCTAAGAAATTATTTGAAATAAAATGTATAACGAGTAATGATATAACTAACATTAAAATTGTAAACCATCTGCAAATATTATCACCTATGAGAAGAGGGAGTGTCTTACGACCAACTAACTTATCACCTTTTTGATCCCTAAGATCTTGAACTTGAGCTGTAGTCATTACAAAAAAGCAAATACCCAACTTAAAAATGTTTAATTCACTATTTATTAATTTAAACATGCTAAGATTAGTTCCAATGATGATATGATAACAGCCAACAAGTTGAATCCATGTGCCAAAAGCTGAAAAGAAATTTTTATAAAATGCATTTTCACCAAGTTTGAGCACCTCATTAAAGATAACCCAAGCCTGCCACATGAAACTTAAAAAAAGCAATGATAAACCACCAACCATGTATGCTATAATTGGAAATATAATACTAATAACAACTAGACGATGTTTGGCATCTTTAATAGTTATAAGGCCAGAGGGAATTGGACGAAATGGTTTATTTATTCGATCTTCTTCCACTGAAGTTATTTGACTAAACCTATTGTAATAGAATAACAGTCATTAATTAATTAATGTAAACAATAATTATTATAATTTAAAGTATGGTACATGCCAATTAAAAAACAAGAGTGAATGTGTAAAGTATATTATTATACGAAACAAATACGGAAATATAATATATAATATGGTCTCGAGAAATTTACCATTATAAGTAGAAATAGAACTAAAGATACGCATGTAAAGTGCACCTGAATATAGCGCAAGAAATTGATCATTAATGCTCGTTAAAATTAAAGTTCATTAAGTAGTATACTCATCCCTACATACCAATAGCCATAAATGTTGGAGGAATAATGGCTGTCATCCAGTCAGAAATAGATGCATTGTACATGATAAGAATTTCATGACGAATAATGAGTAAAAGAGATAAAAATCTTATTATAATATTATTACTAAGTTTAAATTTATGCGCATTATGTGTAAAAACTTTCATGATAATAATATTAATATTACAGAAAAAAAAAAATAATGTAAATTGACAAAAAAGAAAAAAAAAGATAATGATACTAATGCTATTAAATGGATAATTCTCATAAATCATAATGCGAAAACCATCATTATATATACTTTCGATCGCGATATACGAAATGAATCACAGTAAGACCGTTTTCATATAAAAATACAGTACCGTCTCTGAATATTTACCAATTCACAAGTAATAAAATCAATCTGGATGATTTACTTATTCATAAGTAATAAAAAAAACCAATCTGGTTGATTTACCCATTCTAAAGCCAATAAAATCGCATTTTGCGTGTGATCCGCGCGGATCCTGCGCATGCTTATCACTGTAATTCTTTGATTGACAATCTATTAAAGAAAAAAGGATGACATGCGCATGATTAAATTCTTTGTTTTATAATTGACAATCTATTATAGAAAAAGATGATTGGAATTTATTTTTAGATTAAAAATACTTCGCACTCACTACTACTTTGACAAGCTTCTAGACCATTGGATCAACATGTCTACAAATACTAAAAGGAAATATTTAGCTGTTAATGACAACAAAATTACAATCTTATCAGATATCCCCACTTCCTTAATGTTAAACTATATAAAAATTAAGAAAAATATTCTTTATAAATGTAAAATGGTAATTGAGAGGCTATTTTAAATTTTAAGCTCCTTTTACGAGTTGTAATAAAATTTATAATATGAAAACAATTGACCATATTGTCTATTCTTATAAATTTTCATATAATTTAAAGGATCGTACGATATTACCAGCATGTGTTTTCTTTGTTCAGGTAAGTAAATTTATAATGCTCAATATTTACGTGGACTATTTTAAATTACCATTTACGCTTAATTTTTTAAAATTCCTTTTACATGACAAAATTGTCGATTTTATTACGTACAAAAAAACATTCCAATTTAGTAATTTTATTAATCATTTTATGCATTACAATTTTAATCGCATAATATATTAATTGTCGAATTTAATGGTTTGCTTTTTTACTGCTACATCCCGGAATCAATTCAAAGATTTACACATTTTCGAATATTACCTGGCAAAGTTCACAATAATCGGTAAAATAAATTTGATTTATTAACAATATTCATTTTGGCTGAGTTTTACTCGAATTCGGCACGAGATATACATATATATATTCGGTTATCGGCATGCACCTTAACATAACGATAATATTCATAATCATTCTGGGATAGAACTCGATTGACTAAAGTCAACAGATCAAAAAGGTGTTAAGCAAGAGTGAAAATAATCCAGAAACAGACAAGATTCAATACTAAAAGATATAATGACCTAGTAATTGTACCCGGGTAAAGATTTTTGCTTTAATAACATAGTATTCATCCGGGTCAACCCGGATATTTAATAATACCCGGGTAGTGATTTTCTCAACGGGTACAAACTCTATAATGACCTTCCATATATAGTAATTCTAACTCAATAACGATAAGAGATGCGATGAGAATCATGGGAAGCACGAGTGCGATCCTACAACAACAAGTGCGAAGCAAACTTCACAACCCTTCCTTCCCTGGAACCTGCCATTTTCACATATACTATAACTTATTTATTTCGTATCAATATTATAGCCACTAAAATCAAGTGTTATATCGACAGTCGGCCTGTATTATGCAAGCAGGAAACAGCAGCTAGAGTTAAGCTGCATAAATTAACTGCTTATCATTTTAATTTTAAAATTGGATTTTGAATTTACTCTGATGCACAAACAAAAATCATTATCTTTAGTTGATAATAATAATTCTCATACTTAGGGAAGTGCCGTTTATTACGTAATTTTGGGTATGGGGAGGGGAAATTGGCAGTCTATCACGTCTAATATATTATATATATAAATTATGGCTGCTAGTTGGATCACTCAGGGGGGAGGGGGCCTGGTCTTCTAATTAAAAGAAATTACGTAATAAACGGCACTTCCCTTAGTAAGGAGCCATGATCGCCATGCAAAAATCAAAAAATCCTATGAAAAAAAAACGGAAAATCCAATAAATATAATAAACATATCCAGTATTTATGCCAAAAATCAAGCTTTTACTATCATTTATTATAACATTGGTAAATTAATGCAGTTCCGGGTTTTATTTTCGTTCGTTATACTGTACACATGAAGGGTACGTGGTACTGGTCACATTAAATAATTAACAGTATTTTAGATAATATACACAGTATTTTAGATAATATACGCTCATGTGTACAAACGCAGGTGCAATAGTCAAATTATCGCACATATATAAGGTGTGAAAAATGCCAATATTATACAAAATTTTGCAAGGAATTTTTTTTGTTAGTACGCCAAAGGTGGTTTCTTAGACAAAATTTTAAGAAAATCCAAACTTAGTAATCGGCTTATTTCCCAGAATATACGATAACAGCTGGAATTCGTTTTTCCACTGATAAAGTAGTCGTTAAATCCATAATGCGATCATATGGGAAACGTGGAATAAGTAAATTTCGCATATGAATTCATACAAAAATCATAATCAATTGATTTCGGCGTTAAATCAAAATCTAGAGTTTCGATCCATTATCCGTTTATCCATTTATCCATCGGATATCCAGATCTGAATTTATTCGGGTATCCGTTTTACTATTGATATCTGGATAATTATCCGAACATTTGTCAGATTATCCGGATACCAATAGTAAATGGATATCTGAATAAATTCAGATATGGATAAATGAATGGCGGATTTTTTTTATCCGGATTGGAACTCTATAAAAATCAATTATTGCTCGATCTGCATGATTTTTTGAGCTTCACGAGTTTCAGTATAAAAAATCCAGCTTATAAAGTATGTGCGAACATAAAGTGGCTATCTAAATGCATTCATAGCCTCAAATAAGACTTTAAGTCGATTATAATAAATTACGTATTACATTTAATTAGCAGTATTAAATCATCCGTGTTACAATATTTTCTATTGGACATACTAAAAAAAAAAAAAGACTATAAAAATTTCAGTTACTCTTAACGTTAAATTATTTAATTTCGACATACACTATATAAAGAAATGGCTATTTATAACATTATTTATAACGTTATATTCATATTGAAATTCACTGACTACCTTCTTCTAATCACATTTCCCTTCTTAGTATATGTCTTCCAATTCTATTATAAATACTTTACACGTCCTAATAAATTACCTGGACCCTTACCTCTTCCCTTTATAGAATGCGCCTATTTGTTTAAAAGTGACAATAAACAGTTATATAAATCGCTCCAGAAAAAATATGGAGACATCTTTGAAATTTATTTTATCGGACGAAGAATCGTGATTTCACGTCCTGATTATATTAAAAAAATGTTAATTTCCTCATATAAAGATACAACTTTCTTGGGAAGATTTTCATATTCTGAAGGGCTTGACGAATTTGGAATGGCTGGAAAAGGTATAATCGCAAATCACGATCCTGTAAGTTGGAAATTTAACCGCCAGTTCTTTAATCAAGCTATTCTATCATCAAGTTTTAATAATGAGGCTATAAAATGGGTTAATAAATTATTCAAAGAATTAGAAGAATATTGGAAATCTCTTGCTAATTCAAATTTATCTAATAATAATTTACAAGATAATAAAATTAATTGGTCACTTGAAACTGACTTATCAACATGGGCTCATGGATTTATGTGCGACATGATTATAGTTTTAATTACTGGAGATAGATCCTATTCCATGGCTTCGTATTATAATAAAAGTAGTCCCGTAAAAGTAACACGTTCTGATACATTAATTGAAGATTCTGAAAAATTTATTGAAGGAATTAATACTCATGTCCTAGGCGTCACATACTTTATGTTTCTTGGACCATTCTTACGCCATTATATGCCGATTATTAAAGATAAAATTAAATCAATAGCTAAAAATCGTGATTATTTATTTGAAAGGTTAGATATCATAATTAAAAGGAGAAGAAAAGAGATTGAAGAGACTCCAGTAGGGACAGAATTGAGGAGTAATATGTTGACATCTTTAATTATTGCTAATACTGAACGAGATGTGAATAATGTAAAGAATATTAGAGATGATCTGCTTAGACCAATGACGGATGCTGAGATCAGAATTAACTTACTTGACGCTTTCTTAGGCGGAATTGACACCGTAAGTATCATTCATTACAATTATGTTTTAAGTATTTAATATTATTTATTTATTTGGTATTTTTAAAATTCCTTAGTCTACAAATTTATTTTGCTTCTTAACCTATTACGTTTGTCATTCACCTCAAGTTAAGCGAAAAATGCTTGCCGAAATAGACTCAATATTCCCTCCAAATACTTCCTTTGAATTGAAACATGATGACCTTTTGAAATTAGAATATTGTGATGCGATAATTAGTGAAACAGTTCGAATCATGCCAGTCGTAAATGAATTCATAAGGTGCTCTGATCAACCTTGCGAAATAGCTGGGTATCAATGGGATGCTGGAACAATATTCCATGTAAATTTAAACGGAATCCATTCTCATAAAGATTATTGGTCCAATCCTGAGATTTTTGATCCTGATCGATTTTATAAAAAAGACGATAGCATCAAAGAAATGCATAAATTTGCGTTGGTAACATTTGGTGGAGGATTGCGTATTTGCCCAGGAAGGAAATTAGCTATGATCGAATTACTTTCACTAATGGTACTGATATTTGGAAATTATGATGTTGAATTAATTGATATGAAAGTGCCGTTAAAAACTAAATCTGGAGTAGCAACTATGTGTGAAGAATTGCCTATTAGAATTAAGCCTAGGATTTACTAGTTATTAAATTTCTCTAATTTTTAATGTCTGATACTATATACATTATAAATAATATAATTTATTGTATTTTACACTAACTTTAT